CCACCCACCCACCCCAGGAGCTTCTCCGGCAGTGGGTGGACTGCAGCCTTGGTGTCCCCCATCGGAGTGCAACCCCTTCTCCACCACGCCACACCTCAAGCCCTAATCCACAGACCAGTTTCCTGGTGCAGCAGCTGGTAGTGACTCTGTGGGAGGAAGTGCACAATTTAGAGATCTGTGTAAGTTTTCCTTTAGGTAGCTTTGGGTCTGGGGGTGTCTTAATGGTGAAAAAAAATCAAAAACCTGGTAGCACCATTTGCAGCTCACCAATTTTATTCCAAGGTAGAAGCTTTCATGAGCTGCTGGTTTCTTCTGATTTTTAGCCACCATAGATGCAGTGACCATCTGAATGCATGGTCCTTTAATTCAGAAAGCTGTCCTTTAGATATATTTTTCAAAAACTCACCTTTGCCCTTTATTTTGTTTATTTAATTTTTACCCATACAAATGGTAACCCTGAAGGCACAGCCTTTCACATTCACGTGGAAAATGTAATGGAAACGGAATGGTCTTTTTAAAATCAACTTACATCTCCTGTTTGAGTTTAGATATTTTTATTAGAATATATGTTTTTGTGAAGTTTTTCTTGGTTTTGCTCTTGAATTTTCCTTTGTAAAGCCAAAGTTATAAACATAAACTTTTTTTTTTATATTTCTATGAATCTCTTTCAGATTTGCCCCTTTTTCAGGTTTGCCCTTTATTTTTTCCAAGAAAATATAGTTGGTATAACCGTAGACGAACCCAGCTCCCTAAGTGAAAAGGGCACAGAGAAATCAAAGTATTCTCTGGGAGCACAGACCTAACCAATCCTTCCACCCGGCATCTGGCTTTGCTTTTTATTTTTAATTTTTTTTAACCACAGGCTACCTGGTCATATTCCTTTCGTACCAAACAGTGGGGCATCGTATGCTTTTTTTTAAAGACAAAACGAGCATTGCCGTTTCTGCCAACTCGAGCTCCTCAAACGTCACCCACGTTCGTATTCACTCTTATCAATTCACTTTTTAAGGAGGACCCTCCGAGAACCGACGTCTTCAGAAAGCACTTTCTGGAAACAGCTTCCTCTTCGTGTCGCAATCATCTTTGTTTTTCCCCCGTTCTTCGTTTTCTTGGGTTTTTTTCCTCTGAATCGCCTTGCCTGGCACGCTCCTGTTTCCGCAGGCTGTGTAAATCCTTTGTGTGCATAAATCCTTAGCCTGCGGGCACGACACACAAGAGGAGATTGCACAATCCGACATTGTCACACTAAAAAGAGGGTTTAAGGCTTTGGGGAGGGGGAGACGTGGGCCTTTGCCAGCCACGCCCTCAAACTTTGGGAAAGAAAGGTGTGGGGGGATTTTTCATGGGGAGGTAAGCAAGGGGCGCTTAGTTGGGGGGGTTCTTCTGTCATTTCAAGGACCCCCCCCACTTTTCCAAAACCCCTGGCATGGGGCGAAGCTTTCCCTGCTTCCCTAGCCATCCCTAATCCCTCTCCGTGCCACTTTTCCACCCACTCCAACTCCTGCCAAGGGATGTTACCTGGACAGGATGCCCGGGGCCCATTTGGCTGGGCGGCATGTGCGTTCCTGCAGGCCCTTTTGTTCCAGCGTCTGGTCTGGGACTGGCATCCTTGAGCAAACAGACACGGCGTTCTCTGAAAGGCCCAGCTGGCTGAAAGGCAGCGCATGCCAGCTAGTTGGAGGGTGCGGGGCCAGGGGCTTTCCAAACGCTTGGCATCGTCTGTAGGGGGTGGGCGGAGGGCATGTTTGTGAAATGCAGAACTCCCGTTCTGTATGGCCAGGTTTGAAACCTTCCACAAGTGCAGAAAACCTTTGATACTCAAAATACTGAGATAAAGTGCTGTTGGGGCTGCTTCTTCCTATTCCTCCTCCTTTTTCTTCTTTCTCCTCTTCTGCCCCACCATCCTTTTCCTCTTTCTTCAGCACCACCACCCCTTCT